TAATAATAATAATTTCAAATACAGTGTTTGGAAACTTGCCGCATATGCCAAGAATGTAGAATCGCGGTAAATCTTTCTTGGAGACTCATTCCGCGAAACTAAGCGACGGGTTGTTTGTCTTCAATAGCTGGCAATGTACTGTGATGAGTCCCATGGATACACAAATAATAACTCGCCTTTTAAAGAGAATAGAAATTTACTACCTTATTACATTCGTGTTTGGTTTCGCAGCCAGAGATGCATGTTGAAGCGGGGGAGTCGTCACCTGCGCACGCGCGCGAATTGAGTCCCAAGCGACGATAACACACGCTAAAAACGCAAAGGCTCATGGGCAGACACTTGTTTGTGAATAATGTGCATGTGCAGGTGGCGACTCCCCGCTTTAATATAAAAAATGTTAGTCCCAAAAATGCATGTTTGTTTTTATTAAAATGGTTGAAAGTAATAAACAAAACATTAGCTTAATTTCATGTTTTGTAAAACAGTATGTGTTTACTTCCAGTTTTTTCAAATAATTTCCGCCTTTTGGTGAATGTAATTTCCGAACCCCTCAGAGAACTGAGAACGTCGTATGTAAAAGGAAGAAGTATCGGATTGCAAGACCGTATTATTTGGCCATGTACGTGACATGGAAACAAGGCGGAAGTGTAATAAGAATACAAGAAGAAATGTGTTAAAGCGGGGGGAGAGTCGCCACCTGCGCATGCGTCAGATGGCCATAGCGTGTCATTGTTTACAAACAAACGTCTACCAAGAACCTTTGCGTTTTTAGCGTGTGCTGTTATAAGGAATGTTAAAGATTTAAAAAGTATCTCCTGTATGTTATCATAATACAAAAGTACAAATCAGATTCGTCTAATCAGTTGAAACGAGCAATGTATTGTTATATAGTTAACTGGAGTAGAGAATCTATATGTCTGTTATTTTCGGAAATTATCTTTATTCTGATCTAGAATGTTTGTCTTAATACGATGTTTATACTACCATTTGATAATACTTTTCTATTTTATCTGGTCTGTTTTAGCTTGGTGTTGTCAATATTTTGTTGTTATGAACTCCGCATTGAAGCGCATTTGTGCACTTTGTGTACGCCATTTCGATATACAATTGTATAATAAAAATAATAATGTAAAATGAATTACCAACTTTTTAAATCAATACCGCGTTTTATGAATAATTTTCATGAAATACAATAAGATCTCCATAATCAAATTTCAAATTATTTTACCTCTAGAAATGCTCAATGAGTGTATCGAGTTTCTGTGTTCTCATTATTGCTATGAATGTCGACGTAAACGCTCTTATCATCCAATTTTTGTAATCTGTAATTTTTTTCATGTCCCTTTTTATCCATATTATTATTTCAATTACTCTGTGTAAGGACTTTAGATTCAATACTTGTGCGGACATAACTTGCTACGAGTATGCATTACGTTCGTGGGGGTGTAGTGCCACACGAATAATGAACGGCGTCCTGCAACAGCTCTGAGCACTGGAAGTACAAATAGCATAGGTGTTGGTATAGCCATTTAAATAATTATAATAAAGTCATTTCATTATCTGGTATAAGGTTTTTTTTCCAGAACACACCAGCGCTTCTGACCTAAAATTGAATAAACTGATTAATAACATATCTATCTGAGAACTGTTCACGATGATTGCTAAGAATAAGTTCAATGTTCAATAGCGACAATGTGAATGTGAACCGTATTTTTTTTGTTATTTTAGCGTGAGAATCAAACACTACTAACATATTTTGCTTGATTTACGAGCGGAAACATTGTTTTATCAACAGTTTTTACCACATGTTAGTTGGATTATATTGTAATTGTTGCGTAAGTAAGTTGTGTCGAGTTCGTTTGAAGTTTCAATCATTTGTAGTTTATGCGATGTATACTTTTGATTCTTACCTATTATTATATGATGCACATGCAACGCGCATCTTTTTTGCGCTGATTATCATACAATCTCTTATTCATGTCACCCAAACATTTCCGATTCAATAAATATTACAAATATATTCTTATTCTTAATATATTCACATATATTACAAATTCCAGCAGTAGTGGTACTTAATAACATATGTCATGGTGCAAATAATATATATATATATATATAATACACACCTTATACAAAGTTCAAATTTTGATACCTACCATTCCTGATACTCCAGGTTTGCCAGATTCGTCGAATCGAATTTTATCGGGGATAAACGAGCCTTCGATAACATCGTAGAGTTCATTGTATGTGCAGTCAGTCCCGGTATCAGTCTCATTACGCCATTGCTCCACGTTATACCAACCAATCAGGAACCATACGTATTGTCCCCCGTATAGTCCTTGTTTATGTGCCTATATGTGCCACGAAGAATCACACGTTACAAACTAAATAAACTGGCAATAAATTTTGTTTATTCATAATTCTATTACGTATTCCGATGCAATGAACTTTGCATTTATGAGTGAGAAGTGGCAAAGAATCTTTCCTCAAAAACCAGTTGACGATCTGAGTTATGTGTATATTGTAATATGTGATTAACTTACTGTAAGACATGTTGAAAAAGCGGCATGCAATTTTAGCGAATTGTGGTAAAATGACGTAATAGCGAAATGTTGATTTAGCGAATCTCTATTGTCATTGTTGATATCTTTGTTTGGCTGCTATTTTGAATTGATAATAAAATCATTAGCGACATTTTGAAATAGCGAATCAGTTCTCTCGCTAAATTCGCAAAAAAGACATGCTCGCGAAAAAGACATTACAAAATTAATTAACTTAAAGTTTGTCCATTTGCGTGTCGTTTCCACAAGTTCCATTGTATAGGAAGTCGTGCTTACCTCACATAGTACTTGCTTCCCCTGCGGTTCGTAGGCATCCACTATAATGATCCTAGCGTCCTTATTCTAAAAAATAAAAAATAACACGAACTGAAACAAAATGTACTAATAGCTGTCGGTTAAAGCGGCAAGCCAACAGTCCGAATCCTCATTTGGTACCCAACGCCTCGTAAAGGGAGTCGTCCTTGGGCATAAATAGCCGCCGAGATCTCGTTGAAAGCGATGCAGCCGCAAGACTTGTGTTTGCCCTTCAAATACGACGACGGAAAAGAATCAGAGAAGAAAATAATAGAACACAGTTCAATGGGCAAAAACAAGTAACGTGACTAACTCGTTCTCAATAACATCTCGACGGCGATTTGTGTCTGAAGTCTATTTACAATTATAGGAAACGTGAACAACAAAATGATTGAAAAAATTATTATGGATGTAATTCAATTGAAGAATACCGGTAAAGCATAGAAAGTATGTTAAGTGTTATACTATAATAGTATTCTAGACGCGAGCTTACTATCATGTTGCGGACTTGATTCGATGCTTCATCCATGAACGTATCGGCAGTTATGATAGTAATATTGTTCTGTCCTAGCTTGTCTACCAGGTCTGCATTCAGCTGTGAATAAAAGCAAAATCGTTCTTTTAATGTATCACGGTGTGAAACTTGCCTACCTTCAGGACACCAATTAACAAAGCGAAATAAAAAAAAATTGCCGTAGACACTAATAGAAACTAATAACTAATGTTCGAGCCGTGAGACGTACAAAGCCTGTGACGTATGTAATCAGATATTTGTCTTCCATGTTGTCATGACACTGTCAGTTTTGCATAATTTGGTTTTAAGACATATATAACAGTAATAGGGATTGCCGAATTAATTTAATGTCATTTTGAATAATGCATATTCCTAATTGGAACGGATGCTGATATTTATAATAAAGGGTCATTGTCCCGAAATGATTGCTTAATATATTGAATAATTATTATGAAATGTAGTGACGCTTGATTTACATTTTTCTGAAATATCTCAACCCAATTAACTCTCTTGGTTAGTTATAAAAGACTGCACCCATTGCATCTACAATTAATGTGTATTTTTTGTAGAGAATTGTGTATATATTCGTTTGTTTTCACATTGCCTTGACACGTCTTTATTGTCGATTTGTTTAATACACGTGCCAATATTGAACTGCATATATTGGATGATTAATCTTAATTTATCGGATATTTTGAGATAATTATTGAACAACTATCATTCACGAATCCATCAATCTAACGTTCATCATTTAACATATATAAGAATGGAACGGTTCGGGTTCACTGATCCTTTCTAAAGTTAATGTTCCAGTAGCCGCAATATATATATATATATATAGATTTGAATGTCTAGAACAAATTTAAACATCAAGTTTTAATATAGAGCATATTCGGACCCGGGCCTTTGAATATTGAATCTAAAGGTGTTTGTACAGTTATGCAACAAAACTTATCTATCCGTGACGGGTTTCGGAAAGTTATATACGACAATACAAACCAAGCTTAAAATACATTGCGCTTACGGCTTTGACGGATACTAAGCAGTCGAATTTAATTGCCAGGATGCATGTACAGTATTTTTTTAGAATATATACGTCACATAATATAATCATAATCATAATAATCGCTCTCACCACAGCAAAGAAATCCATATTGTGATATATGGTAGCCACTCTTTTCCATCCATAATAGTTGATGATCGCAATACGTACTTCATTATATATGGTATCAGGTCCAGTGAGGCGAATAAACGATGGATAGTCCACAATGTTGGATAATTTAGGCGAGCTTTCTGAAGCCCCTACCTGCAGTTGAACACGTACATTATCTAGTTAGCTATCGTTAAAACACATGTGTTATGACGGAATGCAACGTCAAATTAAATTAGTAATGAAAAGATGTCAGGGTGCTCATCACGAGGAATAATCACTTATCAAAGACCAATTTTAAAAATGTATAATTTTAAAGATGTTTGTAGAAGATCCCATTCCGCACGAATTTCTTGCGTGCGTTAACTTATTCTTGACAATACATTTTTTTCATTAGGTCGCGCCTTCTTGCGATGATTGCGATTCGGTGACGTCAAATTAATGTAGATTGGTTCATGGAATGTTATGAATATACAAGAGTTGATTCTATGGTCATTCGCCATTTGGATATAATGTCAGAAACATAATTTGTTTATTAATGGACAACCACAGATCAACAAAACATGAAAGATGTGACTGTTCTGTGGTTTGACAAACATGGGTGAATACGAACATGTGTACACCAGATTAGCGAAAATGTGAAAACTGAAAACAGTACATCAACCCGTATATATACAGTTAAAAACAGAATTATTCATACACCTACTGAAATTTCAATGTTTTGTGTTTTTCTGGAAAACAGGTGGATACAGAATATTTTGGCCGTAGTTGGATACCTTTACTTGAAAGGTAAAAATTCTGAATGAGTTTTGTACAACCTCATTTGCATAACAAAAAAGCAATTACTTTATTTGTATTTTGACTCACTCAAAATTATTCATACCCTTTGTCAATAAAACTGTAAAGGCATTGTTAAATACTGTTGAACTTTGAACAAATCTTAACTGGTCCTAAATGGTATCAGTGTTTTTGGTAAGGTGCAGAAATTAAGCCCTGAAAAAGTGTACTTTACTTAAACATCATTTAAGTGCTTCAA